GAGAGGCACTTTTTGATTTCAAATCATAATCAGTAGCTCCAGTTACTGTTGAAAATAGAAACTTATCTTCTGTAGCTCTCTCGTTCTAGTTCCGAAAAATGTCTAGTCTTGTTCTTTTTCCGATTTCATCAACTTAAATTTAAATGTCTACAGGTTTGTGTAATGCCGTGGAATCACGTTTACCAACCCTATGCATAGAGACAAGCCTCCACGAATGGGCCACGCTTACCTCTGGGGCAGTAAACATTGAATCTTGCTTACATAACAATTTATAGTCAATATACAGGTAAGGAGACAGTCATCTTTTTTTCCATATAACCATCATTAATTCATTTTGGCCCACATATGTTGGTACTTGTAGGTCTGTAGGTCGGCCTCCTGTGGTCTAGTGGTTGTAGCGCTGGCACTACAATCAGGAGGTCCCGGGTTCGATTCCCGGCTAGGCGACCCGAGTTTGATGGTCTCAAACAACGGTTGCTTTGGGCTGGTACATGGTAGGGACGGAGGGGGAGGGCCTCTAACTGGAAGTGCAAGGATTACCTCTTGTGTGGTATTTGAAGTAGTAAAAAAAAAAAAAAAAAACTTACAAAGGCCCCATTTGGCCCCAGACCAGTTCTTTTTGTAATAAAAAGAGAAATACCTACTTGGGAGAAAGATCTCAATTGTGTACAGTATTGAGATCAATGTTTCTCGCTACACAGAACAAAATTCGAGACATGACGAAAGAGAATTTGGAAAAAATAATCGGTTACAAAGAGCTGCTGTCTGATGTTGTCAATCTGTGTGTGCTCATGTTTGAAACAAAAATATACCTGACACTTTCCGAAAAGCACATGCTGGTTAAAGTGAGTATCATGTCATCCCATCTTTGCGATTTGTTCGACCTTCGAAAGTGATTGGTTTTGACATTTCTATCAAGGCCTTGAAAGTGATTGAACAATTCTCTACGATAAGATTCAGCAGTTAATTTAAAGAAATAAAGAAACATTTTTTTATGTTTTGTTGATCGTTGGAAAACATCTTGTTCACAAACAAAATCGCTGTTTTTTTTTTTGAAACCAGAATCCAAAATTGCGGACTCAAGCTCTTATCACAGGGAAATTACTGTGTTTTGGAAAAAAAGTGAACTGTTGCTCTAGTCTAAAGCCATTTAAGACTCTGAAGATCTCAAAATTGAGATTTTAACACTTCTCTCAGAAAAGCGTTTTTTAAAAGTACTCGCTGCTATTAATGTTCTTAAATTTTAAACTAATCTTTAAATTCAAGAAATGTAACTGAAGTTCAGGCGATTCGTGAACCTTTAATAAGATTTTGTATTTTGGCCATGTGTCTCATTGTCAGTCCTTCTTCTGCGCTGTTCTTGACTTAATAGCAAGACAGTTCTAAGTTAATCAGTATTTTTTTCTCAGGTTTCACAATGATTTGAAATCTGCCAGATGTAAGTATTACCACTTATCTCTACGGTCACTAAATATTTTTTCATGCTCTTTGAAGACTATCGTAGGTGGAAAATCTTATGGTGCAAACCAGGTATGGAAAGCAATGTAACACCAGGGGATTGTCACATTAACTGTCCGAATTGTAATAGTTGAACTAAGTATATGACCAGGGGCTTGATTCTGTGTTGCTCTCAGGCAATGTCATAGGCATGAGGTACGCACCCATTGCGCAGTTATACATCTTCTCTTTCGTTGTGATGGTGAGAGATCGTCAGACCAGAATGTAATTAAAATGTTGCCTTCAATTTTGTTGATTAGAGGTGAGATTGTGTGGCGAAATATTGAGAATTTGTTTTTCACGACCCTGTGCGTCACACCCTCAAAATGTTTTGGAATGCGACATGTGAGGCAAAACTTTTGTTGCCTATTTGGTATTAATTTTCTTCACGTCTTAAAATTTTCATCTTGAAGAGTTTTTAGTTTATACCCGAATCTGTGGGCAGTGGCTAACAGCAAGAGCAATTAACTACTAGCTAATACTACAAGTAGGGACTGACAAAGAAAAACTCTTGAGATGAGTGAAGAAACTTAAAAATTTATTATCTTAATTTTTAAGCCTTCCTCACCCATCATTCGAATTTTTCATTTACTCCCTTTACCCCATTTCTAGCTATCGAGTCCACCATATGCGTGACTAAATTTCAATGTTAGTGCCTCTTTGATACCTGTCTTTAAAATATCTCTCACTCCTCCTGAGTGGTTGGAAATTGAGGAACTGACAAAAAGTGTTCTTCGATCCATCTCTCCATGATGCATCATCCAAATGAAGAAGTGATGATTTTAAATCTAGAGGGATAACCTCTGGAACTTCTGAACCAGTGAAAAACTGCAGCATCAAATAGTTGGCGTTGCTTAGATGACAGTAGAAGCCTCAGGATAATTAATAAGCTTCCTGCTCGGTGAATAATGATCATTTTTTGTCGGTCTCCAACACCATTTGCAATAAATGTCTGCTTTGATTTCTAAAGGAACCTTGATTTGCTCCCTTTCTTCTCTTCTTAGATGAGAGAATACCTGGCACACTTTCCAGACACCTTTATGACGCAGTTCCATGTGGAAGTTACAAGTATTGTCTCATATTTTGTAGTTTTACTAATGGTTTTAATGTTTGCTTTTAGGTTGTGCTGGTTTGGATCTACGTTCTAGAGCGTCATCTAAAATCATTCTCAAGATGGCCGAAGTCATTGCTTTTGTTTTGTTAGCAGACTAGCTGAAAGCATCTGGCAACACACACGGAAAACTGTAAGCACCCCTACGCTTGTTATCATGTATCTGCTTACTGTGTTGCGACGATGGCAAATCTCCTCTCGTATTGCTTTGTCTGAAGGTAACAAATTGCCATCATTCCTTGACGTCCCTGCAGACTTCTCTTTTCAAAAGGAAGAAAAATGACTGCAGTTTTTAGAATTCCCTTTGAATGGCCTCCATTTTTATGAGGACTGAATGACAGAAAATCTGCAACGTCGCAAACCGAGATGCGGACTTACGCCGTCAAATTTGGTAACAATTTCAGTATCACTGTTCCATTTTTCCGCTTTGTACGCCATAGAGGAATCGTGTAAACTCGTCTTATATTCAGTCTTCTTCCTTCTCGGTTCAGTTTTTCAATTGAAAATCGATCAATTGACTTGAATGAAATCGAATCGTTTTTTTCACATGATTCACTGAAATAAATCGTTTCTCGATAAATATACTCTCGAAAAATCGATTCTCTTGCAAAAATCGATTCAAAATTGTGAACACTGTCCCCTAGAGCTGTGGTAGCGGGACACCAGTCAGAGTCTACCTTTCGTTCGCGCGTGAGTTATTCGCTTGGTTTCTGTCTGTTTTGCTAACTTAATAAATTGGAAGATGCAAAGATCCAGTTGGACGCGAATATTAAGTGTGAGTACTGTATTATATATTTTTCTGATGGTTTTTCATATTTTCTTGAGACGGAATTTCTCTAAGTTGTAGCTGAATAATGTCAACAAGTGAGAATATGAAAATGATAGCATTTTGTGCAACTAAGACTTCTCACACACACACGGCTGCTGAGATTGTGAGATCTCATTGCAATCCTGTGTCAGTTCTTATGACCCTTCAAAAGTTTTTTCCTTCATAATTTTTTTATTTTTTAGTCAATTTTCTGGAATGATATTTCAAATGATGAGGTAAAAGTTCAGCGGTAAACGTCATTCACTACATAATCAAACTGCCGATACAACGGTGGTTCAAACAAAAACATTAAGAAATCCAAAACATGTACTGTGCATGAAGTGTGAAGTTAACTTTTAACGTAGCACTACATATTAAAGTGTTGTTTACTATAATTGAATTGATGTTTGATTGAATATCATCAATTAATGCTAAGCGCTTTAATCAGATCTACCTTCAACTTACTGTAAATTGCAGGAAACCCAAATCGTTCAGAAGAGTTGTAGTAGTTTCGAATTTTTTGCCCATAGAGTGTCTGAAAATTAAGTTTATCATCTCAGAGAAGTTTTGTAAAGTTTTCATTGGATTCTCTTAGCTATTTCGTTATTTTTCTCCTTTTTATTGTAGAAAACTCATCCATATGAACTTTCAAACCTACACACCCACGGTCTATACTTTCAAATGTCCCTAACTGAGATGAAGTAGAATCCGTTTCTGCAGGTACACTCATTTGTTCCTAGAACTTTCGCAAAGTTGGTTGATTCTGTCAGCAACGATTCAGCCAGAAAAGAATAGTAAATAGGTTACAAAATCGACGTTCAGTATCAAAATATGAGATAATGCCGTGTAATAAATTATGGAATCATCAAAGTACCTCAGCAATTTTTAGAGAATATTTCTCAACATTTGTGAACACAAGGTGCGACACTAACATACAAGCCATGGCAGAAATACAAATTTTTTAATTTTTGCAAGTAGGAGAATTTTACCTCCTCTTGGAGTCTGTAAACTATCTGTAGAGGCTGAACTTTTTCCCAAGCACCAGGGACATTCAGTAGAACAGTAAAAGTAAGAAGGAGGAGGAGAGATAACAAAATGTGATTTTAGGAACAACCTCTTCCTCCAGAATCAACCCCAGTGACTTTCTGTTGTATGTTTTATTTGTTCATTTGTTTTCATCCGTTGTTATTTCTTGATTGTTTCCAGGTCAACCCAGGAATGGGCCGCCACGCCCAAGCAATTACACTCATCAGATCTGCAATCGGTAGACGGGGCACCACCCCGCCAAACTACGTTCTGTCCGCTGCTGCTCTACATGCCGGTAATATTTTCTGTGACATTATCATGTAGAATAACTTGTTTCTACACAGCTTTCTGTTAACATTGAGGAATTTTGTTTAGTAGAAGGGCAGCAATCCTTTTCATGAAACTTCAGAGGGTGCAGTTGCTGCAACTTAGCAAAGTACAGAATGAGGATTTGATCTGACAGATCCTGAATGTCCCCCTTTAAGGTATCGTAATGTAAAGGAATTCTTGCATGCGTCAGGGAGTTCTTATTTAAAGGCTTTCCCTCGTGTTAAATTTTGCGGGGAACAGGGTGGTGCAACTTGCTTTCTCTGAAATAAATTCATAAGCGCACAAAAGCTGTAAAGTTTAGGCCGCAATGGAGGTGATGTCCCGTGCTACGGAGAGAATCCACCTTTATATCTGGTCAAACTCACCATGCAAGCAAAGAGAGGAAGCAAGTACATTCGCAGGGTTGCCATTTTGTTCGGGGAGTCCAAGACTGGAACCACGGCAACCCTGCTAATGTATTTGATCTCTATCTGTGCACGGACGGAGTGTTAGAAAAGATATGAAGGTGGACTTTCAATGTAGTGTGGGATGTTCTCTTCATTACCGCCTGAACTTTAGAGAATTTTCACATCACACAATGGAGGCTGCAACAGATTACCCAGTTCAGCATGTTTCGAGTGAATATATTTAAATTGAAAGAAAATTATTCTCGACATGGAAACAGCAGGAAACATGACGAAAACGTTCATTATTATGTGAAGCTCTCATACTCATGGATGGATCTTTTCATTTCATTTTTCGGTTTCCATGCCTTGAGGCATTATATTGGTTGGATATTAGGATGGTGCATAAGCAATTTGAACTATTGTCTGAAGCAGTATGTAGAAGAATGGAAAATTGGAGATTTGTAGAAAAACATTTATTTTTAAAATCGGTAATTGATAGCCTTTAGAACGATTATCTTATTCGGAGACAACTGCAGATTTGTATATTGTGTAGCATTAAGGGAATTTTTCTGACTTTGCCTGGGTTTTGCTCCACAATTCTTATCTCCAAAGTTACAAGTAGACTCCACGCCAAATTTTTCACTGAGCAGAGCCAGTAAAAGGACGCAGCAGTCCCTCAAACCAAATTCTTGGAAAAACACGAATCTATTTTCTTACTCTTTTTTGATTGTTATCATATCACACTTTTGAGAGGTGACACGGACGTATTTTTTGGGACACACCACCATATTTTGCCTTTAAAATTATATGATGTCTAGTGAAATGTGAGGGGTATTTTGGTCCATTGTTGCCATTTTTGGCCGGTATTTAGGAGATTCTTTCAAATTTTCTCTTGTAAAACTTGGCTTAACCTACTAATAGTCTGCATTCTTGAAAAGATGTGCTGTAATATTCTCCTCTGTTGCATGATTATCGAAAAAGAGTGACGAGAAAAAATCGTCAAAAACGACAAAAAAATGAAAAGTTAAATGAGCCCTTTAGCCGAACTCTACCACAAACCAGTTAAAATGAAAGTACTAAATAATATAACTTTTCCGCCTGTAAGTAAAGAATATTTTTTTCCCAGGAGGATCAGTCGAGCAAGCGATTCAAATCCTAGAATTGTACGCGAACATCGTTTCCCCAAGGTAGGGTACGTATCTTTGTCATTATTCCCTTTTATTGTTAAGTGAAGATGAACACTAAAAACTATCCGCAGATGAAGTGTGGAAATGTCATTGTTCAACTATTGAACATGACCAACTGCCCCCTTGAACAGCACACAAGGAAACAGTTTCAGTTGCCTCTCAAAGAAATAACGGCTGTCGTGCACATGAAGTAGGATGTTTCTTATTTTTTTCCTCTTTTAAAATCAAGTGGAATACACCCCCTCCCCCTTCCCCCAAGTGATGCGTCTGGGGTGATATAAACCAAAACAATTTTTGAGCGAATCATTGTAAGTGGTGAAGTAGAGACCTTGCAATAACCAACAGGGAAATTTAAAAATTGAGAAATCACATTTTTCCCCCAATGAAATGATGCTATAGCTTTGAAATTGTTTCTACTTAATCAAATAACTTTTTTAGGAACCTTAAGATGAAAAAACATATTTTATCCAATCACCTCCAAAACGCTACTCCCTATCTCCTTTCCGAAGGCAAAACGGTGAGTTTTCAGCTACTTACCATTTTTCCGAAGTTGAGGATTGATTTTTCTTTTTCTTGATACACAGCCATCTTAAACTTCCTCCAATGTTTCTCGGTTTTGCTTAGTCAGCATATGAAACAAATTCTAGAAAGAAATCAATCTCCAAGATGTGTTGGAAGAAAATGATTACTAAGAAGGGATATTGAATTAGTAAATCATTTTTCTTCAAGTTTAAAACTGGGAACCCCTTTTTTTACCAAACTAATTGATAAAATCACTTCCGATAATGGGTCAATGATTTATCATTTTTCTGAGGCAGAAAACCTACTGACTAAAAGAGGACAACCAGCGTTTCCTGGTGCCAAAAGTGGGTTTTAAACTTAGAGACAGTAGCACTGGTAATGTCTTCTCTCCATTTGTTGCTCAAGGAAGCAGAAGCAGCCTTAAATTTCGTAAATTAGCATCCGCTAAGATCAGAACATACTGTCCATGTATCATTGACAAGATGTCACGCTACGAATTTTCTATTAATCGCATCTGCTCGTTCTCCGTAGGATTATTGAATTAATTACAGGATTATTACAGGGGAATTTATAGATTGACAAGACTGAAAAGAGGTTCCACCTCTAGAACATCATATATGATGAATGAGGAAGTAATTGAAAGAAACTCATATTTCCAATCACATGGTGTATTTTGCAGTTTTTTTGGCACAAAGGGATGCGTTTCAGTGGAAAGGCAGTAACTATAGAAAAGCATGAAGGGAGAAATGACGTCGGCACAACTTGAGACGGAATGCATAGTCACTCCTCTAAAATGTTCTCTCTCAAGGAAGTACNATTAATTACGGGATTATTACAGGGGAATTTATAGATTGACAAGACTAAAAAGTGGTTCCACCTCTAGAACATCATATATGATGAATGAGGAAGTAATTGAAAGAAACTCATATTTCCAATCACATGGTGTATTTTGCAGTTTTTTTGGCACAAAGGGATGCGTTTCAGTGGAAAGGCAGTAACTATAGAAAAGCATGAAGGGAGAAATGACGTCGACACAACTTGAGACGGAATGCATAGTCACTCCTCTAAAATGTTCTCTCTCAAGGAAGTACTCAATTTGTGGTTGACTTTGGAATGGAGGATTTCTTATAAAAGAAAGGTTGTAAAAAATGCTTGAACTGTACATCCTTCAATTCTGATGAAGAAGAGGATACTTCTGGGTTGTCATCATTAACAATCATCTGATAGTAACTAGTGTCCTAAGCAAGTAAATAATTAGTTGAAAGGTTATATTAAGAACGTGAAAGTGTACTAGTCGTTCACTGCAGAGAAAATAGGCAGTATTAGGAAGTTGTTTCTGGCTGTCCAAAGTGCTTTTATTGTTTCAAATTATTTATGAAAATTCATCTGTTGATCAACTATTGGATTCTGTCTTTCAGACATTCCAATGCGTAGGAGGAGGAGTGGCCGGGGCTGTTGGCATGTAGGACCGCCCCTCGAAATAATTGCTCCGCAACCTCCACTGCAACCTCAACCGCAACCTGAACAACCTCCACTGAAACCAGCACCTGCATCGATTCCTCCACAGGAGCCACGATGTCTGGGTAATACATCTTATTGATATTATTGTGGAAATTACTCACAGTATTGATATTCCCCATTCCTGAGGGGGAAGCAAGGGTTAGGAATTAAAATTTGCACCGTAGATAACACATTTCGTATCTTAAAGTTGATTTAGACTTGGTCGGAACAGTGGAACTGTTGCAGGAACAAGTTGATAAAGAAAAATGTTACAACGATGAATGAAACCTTCAATGTAAATACTAAGTAAATATGAATGGTATGTGAATCCAAAGTAAATGCTAGAAAGGAAAAATTTGGATACTAGAGGCTTCTGACGCTGAAAGATTTGCTTACAGTTAAAACATTTTTGTTCATCACCTCTTTCCTGCAACTATCAGGGTCAGTTCTCTAAGTTGGCCAAGGCTCATGGTCAATAAGGTGAAATAGTAGAACAAACTTGAACACAAAACCGCTTAACTTCTCCTAGAAGTTTAGGAGTGGCAGTTTTTAAAAAATTAAAGAAGGGGCAGATTTTAAATAGAAGAGACTTCCAAAAGTAAGTATTTTTTTGCTGAAACTTCTTAACTACTGTATAAAATTAAAATCTGTAAAGAACCGCCTATTGGTCATGATGTCAGTTTTTTAACAAGCTATAGTATTTTAAATTTTGTTCAGTAGAATGGCAGAAAAGTTTTTTTTTTTTTTTGTGAACCCACCTCACCACCAAACGGGTTTAAAATTTCATGTTGGTACATTGGCGCAGCAACTACTGGGTGTCAACATATCAGATAGCCACAATTTTTACCTAAAAGTTCCTTTTTGATAAGATCACCAAAGATGCACCTTAAGGTGATTCGATGGACGCCATATTTTGTGTCAGAACGGCATGCGATATATCGCATGCCGTTCTGACACAAAATATGGCGTCCATCGAATCACCTTAATGTGGACACCAGCGTGATATTAGTTGTATTTCACCTACTTTTTGTGAAATTGCTTCACAAGCGTTCCAGGGGGCTTTCCGATCGGATCATGGAGTTACCCATTAATCTCGTTCATCCATAAGGAGTTGTATGCTGAGGGGATAAGGAAGCTTGTCCAACATTACATTTTGTCTCACGTCTTGTTTAAATTTCGGACGGACTGGTAGCGTGAAATTTTGGACCCAAGTGGTCCGGAGGTGAGTCCACAAAAACAACTTTTCTGGCATTCTACTGAACCAAATTATAAAGGAAAAATAAAACCTTGCAAGAAAGGTGATATTATGACCAATGAACAGTTTTTTATCAGACCTTTATTTCATGCAGTAGTTAAGAAGTCATGGCAAAAAGATACTTTTATTTGGAACGACCCTCGTACATAAGTAAAGTTGCAATGGTTACAGTCGAAAAAAAATTACAAGTGGAATAGGATGTAAACTTCATATTCCTAATTTCATATTTTGGAATGTAGTAGGTCCAGTTCATAGCGTTTCGAAAAAAAATTTCAGTTAAGAGTTGGCAATTTGTCAACGTTTATGATGTACTTGTGCGGAGGTAAGGAAAGACTCAATACATCTAGACTATCCATAGTACAAAGGCTGCCATAACTTAGCTTAGAACCTCATTTTCTCTCCCTCTCTTGATATTTTTTGAGAAGCAAGACAATGATACAGGTTGAGGGGTGTTTAAGAAAGACAGTTTGATGTCTACTGGTTTGATTGGTGGCATTTTCCATTGTGAATTATCACAACGAGCAATCATACTTGGCGACAGGGGAAGAACTTTGATTACTCGGGTACCCTCCTCATCATCGCCGTTAGGGAATGATGCACGTTTATTTTCTAAAAGGGAAAAGAGAGTGTCTTTAATTTATTCTCTCGTAAGAGGAACAGTAGGATCAACATTCCTCTGTCAGAGAATTAACACTATTTAGCAATTGCAAGGATAACATTTTAATTATGAAACTACAAGGAGTTTTGCCAGACCATTACTTCAAGAGGAAAATTGAAGCGAAGTTTCTTTATGTGAGTTCAATGAAGCAGGACATTTTGGGGTGTAAGCTCCTCCATCTTGCGGCATTTTTGTCGAGGAACCTTTGAGCATTTTCAAAGGGGGTTACATATTAGCCTCCTTCAGGTGCTTTCAGAGGAGTAAGAAATTACTCTGTTCTTTAAGGAAACCGAAAATAAGGTTATATTTGACCTTCAAAATAAATATACATAGGAGGAAAAAAAATAAATGAAGCAGTAGATTTGCAGCTGACAATTAAGTTCAATCTTTTGCACGGTCTCCTAAGTCATTGTCATTGGACTGTGTCCAATGTCTTTTTGAAGGAGAAAAAAAAACAAGAAAAATTGTAATTTTAAGCAGGTGTTGGTTCCAGAATTAGGTTTAGCAATTGAGACGAAGAATTTTTACTTCCAACAAATTCGTTTTCTATGTTTTTGAACTTGTTATCAACATTGATCAGTATTTAGGGAATCTTGCCCCTTTTTGTTTTTCATCTAATCAAATTTTATCTGAGGAAAGTTGTTCAAAGTAGCGGAAAATCAAAGTTTTTTTCAAAGTTGGTTCAGGAAGAGCTGAGTGTGTTTCGGCAATCCTTTTTCATGAGTGTACACTCCCTACCAAAGAAGGTTATGTTATTAAACAGGATTACTGTTTTTAGGGGTTACTGCAATTCTTTCAGTAAAGGTTCCTTGTTTTAATTATACTATTTAAAATTTGTGTTGCAGGAGAAATAACAATCAGTTCCGAAGAGGAGCCGCCATCCACAGACACATCGAGAACTGGTAAGTGGAAGTATCTACAACATCGGAACTTGGCAACCATTAAAATACAGATTTTATCACAATTTTATCACATGAATAAAGGAAAGAAGGACACAGTAATTAATTTCAAGGTGTATTTGTTTTGATCCAAATTGTTGATGGGTTGCAGAAACACAGAATTCTCAGAGGACAGTAGACCAATTGTAAGTCTCTGATAGCGTATCTGCTAGATGAACCAAGCTCACATTAGTTGTATCAAAAAGAGAAAAAAGTCGTCACATCGGCCCAAAAAAACCAAGCCACAAGAAGGAATGTAATTTTCCAAGTGTTTTCTTAGGGCTGCTGATCTCGAAAATGACGTTGGATTTCGGCAATCCTTTTTCCTGAGTGTACACTCCCCACCAAATGAGGTTATGTTGTTGAACAGGATTACAGTTTGAATCTCTCCGACTGGTGACTTGGACAGTCAACCGTCGGAATTCGGCGGTTAACCCCAAATCTCCACTAAGGCGGTGCGTGTTTGGGGATCCAACACGTCAACGTTTTCATATAAACAACAAAGATAGCAGCGCATTTTGCGCAGGTGTTTTGAATGTACGTATTGCGGTCGAGATCCACACTCAAAACGGATTTGAAGCAACAACGTACCTAATTAACATTTAAATATGTTTACCATCGAGTTAATTTTAATGCCTGATAGTCGAGTGAAGGACGTTTTCTCCAGTTAAGAAAAAAGCTGCAGTGTCGCCGTCTATCATTGCATTCGAAGAGAGAAAAAACAGCAGCCAGAAGAATGAGCCTTAGTAACCGTCCTTAGCATCCATTTCTTCTTTTCAAAGATTTTATATCATCATTACTTATCAGAGATGCAAAATGAAATTTAATACTACATGAAAGTTCACAAATTTCTCAGGAGCAGTGTATGCCGCCCACAAACTTATCTCAAAATAAACTCTACAGGTTGACTCTCATTTCGTTAAATATTGAGATTATACTGATTCTAGGCATTTTTTGGCCTACTGAGTACTGACTACTGAGTCTATTGCAGAAGTTCCACAAAATTTGATGAAATTTTATCTTATATGAAATTGCATGTAATTTTGCATCTCTGTTCATTATGGAGCCCATTCAGCATGCAATCAAGACTTAGGCTGCTTTAAAAATGTAAATATTGCTAGCAGGAAAGGGGAGGGAGAATTTCTCCTGAATTAAGTCGGGCCTCTAAGAGGAACATATTTTCCTAAATTAAAATTTATCAAAGGGAGAAGTTATATTAAAATTTCCATCTTTCAATCGCCATGAATAATATCGGTTAAATATTGCCGTGTTTACTAGGTACTCTTCATTGGAGCTGATCATTGTTTTCTCGTAATTGAAATTGATAGAGATTGTGTTTCAGAAGGTAAAAATTCTCACTAATCAGGCAAATAGGGATTGTCCCCACCCCCCTTATTCTGTGAGAGTACTAATCTTTTTTTGGGACAATTTTGGTCAATTTCGAGGCTTTATCACTGATTTTCAGCAGCCCCTAACCCCCTCCCCGCGTGCACAAAACCTCTCCTGTCAGATTCCCCGGGTCCAGCTTAAATAGCGCAGCTGCACTTAATCATTCAATCTAATTTTTTAAATCTACTTTTAGTAATATGTAATGAAGACTTTAGCCTTCAATGCTTGTCTTTTACACATTTGTAAACATTTGTGTTTTTTTTTTTTTTTTTTTTTTTTTTTTTTTTTTTTTGTAACTGTCTTCTAAACACTTACGTCATCGTATGGTGGATTTCCCATCAGTCTAGATACTCAGACTCATCACTGATCAGTTTCTCTGGAATATCTAGCATAAATGGTTTAAGTGTAGGTAACACTTTGTAGGTCTTCTAGATAGAGTAGTTGGTGGCTAGAAAAATTATTCTCACTAATATCAACTTCCGTTAGGAGTCAGTCTTCTGCATAGATTAGAGGTCTGAGATCTTTACAAATCGAATATTATGTAAGATTTCTTGAGAAAATGTATTCTAAGTTGAGCCTAATTTGCTGCTGGCATGAAAAGAAGCATTTACACTTTGGGTCCTGGCTGTGGTATGAAAGGCTGTGCAACAGAATCAAATTATTTTTTTGAGATAAATTCCTTACCTCTGAACTAGAAAAGCCATTGATTCAGCTTTGTTCTGACACCAACCTAAATAAAACGATCAGCCCAACAGGCAGTGTGCATCAGAGAAATTTGTGCATTATTTGCTTTGGGTCTGGAAAATACTGAAGTAATGGTTTATTCTGCTGAGATCAAAGGAATTTTTTTGATGTTCAATGCCTTATGCATCTACTCACACACAATGGCAAGAGGCTGGTGTTACCTTTGACGCATCAACGAAGAGGTATCACAATTTATATCGAAGTTATAAGTTACAAAATCAAGCAGCGCTACTATATTCAAATTTCTTGAGAGTACTAGATTTTCATACCAAGTAATCAGAAGTGTTCGGAGGCTTTTAAGTAAAGGTGAGAGCTTATTAAGGCTAGTACAGAACAACTGAAACGATTTAAATTGAATTACTTTGGAATTAATACAATATAATCGATCAGCACTGGATGATGATAATTGTGTAAATAAATATGGCGGCGCCCGGCGGTCTGTCACAGCGTTGAGATTGCCGAACTCCCGAAAAGGCACCGCCTCGGTGGAGATTCAGGGTTATCCGTCGAATTCCAACGGTTGACCACCTAAAATGCCAGTGAGCAAAACCTGTTACTGTTTTTAGAGGTTTCTGTAATTCTTTTAGTTTAGGCTTGTTGTTTTAATTATACTATTGAAAATTCGTGTTGCAGGAGAAATAACAATCAGTTCCGAAGAGGAGCCGCCATCCACAGACACATCAAGGACTGGTAATTAAAATATGTTGTTGGCTCACATGGTTGTGCTCATTTTAAGGGATCAAGGTACTACAGCCAAAAATTAGTGCAAAAAAGGGGTATATTCAACTCGTTTTGTGCCCCAGGGTATGTTAGGTTTAAGGGGGGATTTTTTACTTTGAATACATACTATCATGGAGCAGTGTGCCAAATTTCAGCTTAAAATTTTGGAAACTAAAAAAATTATGAGGCTTTTTCGATGGCAAAATACTGCCATTTTTGAAATCTGGAGTGTGCATTTTTACGAAAGGCGATGAAACTTCAATAATTTTTTTTCAAATAGTATTCGACAGATGGAGCTAAAAATTCATACTTTCTTTTAGGTTGATCTATAGATTAAGTAAACAAAATATAAGAAAAATCCAAGTCGGTGGGTGCCTTTTTCCTATTATTTTGGTTGAATTGACATGGAATGACCCAGTAGACCAATTGTAAGTCTCTGATAGCGTATCTGCTAGATGAACCAAGCTCACATTGGTTGTATCAAAAAGAGAAAAAAGTCGTCACATCGACCTAAAGAAACCAAGCCACAAGAAGGAATGTAATTTTCTAGGTGTATTTTTAGGGCTGATCTCGAAAATTATGTTGGGTTTTCCGGATCCTCACGGTATGCTTGGATAAATCGGAATCTTGCCTGTACTCCCAAAAAAAAATCAAGGTTCACCACAGGAAATTCAGTTACTGAGTAAATAATGGAGGACAGGGGAAAGGAAAGAAGAGCCAATTATCGCATCAACCTGAATGGATCAGTTATCATTTTGTTACCATCTAAATTGATGTTGAATGGTGCGATTCTGGAATGTGACATACGTGTCTTCTTTTCTTTCCCCCATTGGATGTAGGTGATCGTTAGATGCACCTTTTCAGAATCATTGCAAAAAGCCCACCTAGAATCAGTGACAAATTTTAGGCGAACCGAAGTGTCTGTTGACCAGCAGCCTGATTATTGATGCTCATGTCAGCACAAAAAAACTTGAAAAACCGATCAGATGAAGGATTATCATGTGTTAGCCCGCCGACAAAGCCTGCTAAAGCTTTAACAATCAGGCTGTAGTGTCTCATGGTTGCTTGAATGAATTCAGGGGAGAATTACATTTTTGCGGGTAAATGAAGAGCAAAGAGGAGATTTGGATAACAAAAGAGACAGCAAATTAAGGATATTTTTGGTAAAAGGGCATTAGCGCCGTTAAGCCCATTTTCAGGAGTACAAGATTTCTGTATATTCGTAAGATGGTGTATCCAATAAAATGTATGTAGCTTATACATGTTTCTGTAAAATAGAAATGAACTAAAGATCATAGAGAGAGAATGGAATGAGTATTTTGCAAAGTTTTCATGTTTATGGGGAACATACAACCCTGATCCACTGTATAGTCGTCATCTCTACCCCTGCATCATTCATGCGTTGGCAACTAATGGACAAAGACTTCAGTTCTCTTATTTTTCTGGTCGAAATGAGAAAGGTGACATGTTTTTAGTGACAAACCCACCCTTCTCAATTACCATTCATGTTGAAAAGAAAAACTTAAATAATAAGGAACATATTATCTCAGCAGCAGAAAGTCACTTGCCAATAAAAGAACTTGTGCATGTTTTCAAACAAAACACAAAATAAAACAAAAAAAAAACAAAAAAAAAAAAACAAAGAAAAAAAATATGTTGGAAACCTGCACAGGGCAGCCATCTGCTATTTTCCACCCCCTTTTCAAAGGTTCAGCAAGTCACGAAGGAATTAAAGTTTAGGGTCAGTTTAACTAATGGAGGAAGTACATGGTGTTTAATCTTCAACTAGGGATTTTCTCCGAAATAAAATTTTCGGTATAGAATCTTTTACCGCAACTCAATGCTGAGGTTTAAATTGAAACAAACTCTACTCCTTAGGTGCTAGGTTATGTTATCACAAGCTTGTAACATTGACTAGAAAAGCATGATGATATGATATAGTTGTGTTTCCAATAAAATATCATCATTGACTGAAGTTTACTGTTTTTCAAATTTGTGATTTCGAAATCACACTTATGTTCAGAACTGTACGAAATTCCCTGATTTGTTACCTTGGACTTTTTTTTTCATTCACAGATGCAGTAGATTAAATGGGATGGCGGCTCTTCCTGCAGGGAGCCTGATAACTAAGTGAGTTTTCAATTTTTTGCCAGTACACTTAAAAATTGTATACGTAGTAAATCATTCCTGGAAGTAAAGGGTTTTTCCTTAAGATTTTACTCTTCCTTCAGGTTAGTCATTCAAGATAATCAGCTTTTTTACAAATTTTGTTTTAACCCATCTTCTCAAGTAAGGTCTATGAGGACAAGATTTAAAAAGTTCCCTGAGAAAATCTGCTCAAAAAGTTTTTCAATAGTGCAATGACCTAGCTGTTTATTTTTGTTGTGTTAAATTTTCTGATACTGAGGACACTTTTCGTATTTGTCAACTGAGATATGTTTCGAAATAATGCGGCGAGATGAAACGGATGCTGCAGATACAAATTTTCGGAAGTGAGAACTTGTCAATTGGAAATGTGGAGCTTGTGGTGACAAGACGGTTGCCAATGAGGATTAGGTACGAAACTTGTGTAAAGAGCGACGCCAAAAACGACCGTTTTTTGGCACAATTTGGGTCAGCAGGGATTTTTCTGAAATCCAGCCCAAACGATACCTTAAGATACCCTAAAACTCTTGTTAAAATTTTAGCTTGAGTATTCGCACGATTTTTGAGAATTGAGGGGGCAAAGTTGCCAAATCGCCATCATTCTGGACAGCATTTCTACAGCAAAAAGACGGAAAAAATGGAAGAAAAAGTTACACCTTTGATGGGTTTCGGCTGTAAATGTTCTCATTGGGCCCCCAAGCATTTAACTGTGTTCAGTTTCAAAAATTTTGGTCGCACAGTGGTCCAAAATGGGAAGAAATCGTCGACAAATCAGGATTCTTTGTCAAATTTATAGAAACGGAAGTAAAATTGTCGGTCTGCTGCAGTTTTCATGGCTAGCAATGTTCTTATTGGTCCTCAATGCATGAAATTGTGTTCAGCTTCATAAATGTATAGCGCACAGTGGTCAAAAATGGAGGAATTAGTGGACAAATTAAGATCCTCTGTCAACCTTTTTAAAAATGAAGTGAAACTGTTGGTCCCCAATAGAGTTTAGATTCCGGAAAAATTCATGTTTTTAATTTTTTTAATTATTACTACATGTCAGACCGTATTGTTTATAGAACGTTGTTATAAAATGGACTATGTAGCATTATCTCAATAAAATATGCAAACTTTCAGAAATTAAAAAAAAGAAGGAAAAATGGAGAGAAAAAATTAAAAAAAGGATTTAAATAGTCAAAAAAAGAATTTAAAGAATTTAAAGAATTTTTCCGGGATCTAAAGTCTACTGGGGACCACCAGTTTCACTTCATTTTTAAAAAGGTTGACAGAGGATCTTAATTTGTCCACTAATTCCTCCATTTTTGACCACTGTGCGCTATACATTTATGAAGCTGAACACAATTTCATGCATTGAGGACCAATAAGAACATTGCTAGCCATGAAAACTGCAGCAGACCGACAATTTTACTTCCGTTTCTATAAATTTGACAAAGAATCCTGATTTGTCGACGATTTCTTCCCATTTTGGACCACTGTGCGACCAAAATTTTTGAAACTTTTTTGGGGCCCAATGAGAACATTTACAGCCGACACCCATCAAAGGTGTAACTTTTTCTTCCATTTTTTCCGTCTTTTTGCTGTAGAAATGCTGTCCAGAATGATGGCGATTTGGCAACTTTGCCCCCTCAATTCTCAAAAATCGTGCGAATACTCAAGCTAAAATTTTAACAAGAGTTTTAGGGTATCTTAAGGTATCGTTTGGGCTGGATTTCAGAAAAATCCCTGCTGACCCAAATTGTGCCAAAAAACGGTCGTTTTTGGCGTCGCTCTTTACACAAGTTTCGTACCTAATCCTCATTGGCAACCGTCTTGTCACCACAAGCTCCACATTTCCAATTGACAAGTTCTCACTTCCAAAAATTTGTATCTGCAGCATCTGTTTCATCTCGCCGCATTATTTCGAAACATATCTCAGTTGACAAATACGAAAAGTGTCCTCAGTATCAGAAAATTTAACACAACAAAAATAAACAGAATGAATTTTTGAATGAAAACTGCAGCAGACCGACAATTTTACTTCCATTTCTAAAAATTTGACAAAGAATCCTGATTTGTCGACGATTTTTTCCCATTTTGGACCACTGTGCGACCAAAATTTTTGAAACTGAACACAGTTAAATGCTTGGGGGTCCAATGAGAACATTTACAGCCGAAACCCATCAAAGGTGTAACTCTTTCTTCCATTTTTCCCGTCTTTTTGCTGTAGAAATGCTGTCCAGAATGATGGCGATTTGGCAACTTTGCCCCCTCATTTCTCGAAAACCGTGCGTATACTCAAGCTAAAATTTTTACCAGAGTTTTAGGGTATCATATGGTATCGTTTAGGCCCGGTTTCAAAAAAATCCCCGCTGGCCCAAATTGTGCCATTCTTGGCATTGCTCTTTAATGGTGATGGTATTATCCTCCAGAAAATTTTGAAGAGAGATTTCATGCATGTTCATTCCACCTTCATATCCTTGAAATTGAAATAAGAGAAGCTTTCGAAGGGAAAATGGCAAATTAAATACAAAGATCTCCCATGAATAAAGGGCATAAGCCTTGGCCTGATATAATTAAGTCAAGTTTCCAAATCGTTAATGAAGTCCTAAACTATTTGCATTCCACTAAAGTGATGTTTTGAAGCCAAAGCTGACAGAGGAATGAAAGTAATGGAAGATTATTGAGTTTCTTCAAAGAGCGTACCGGTAAAGCAGTTCATTGTCCAGTGGACTTGTGGATACAGAAAACTTCATCCAACTAGAAATAGCCAATGACCGTGAATGGCACAAGAGACACGTATGTTCTGTGTAGGAAGAGAAAAAAAACTTTTGGTGAGGCAGCGGTTGGTAATAATAGACTACTTTTTTCGATCTCAAGGTCCTCTTGACCAGTGATGTTTTTAATCCTTGGCTTACCATGAGTTATACAAATTTTAATTGTTTCATGCAGAGGCCGCTCATGTCCATTCTTTCAGTCTTGAGTTTTTTTGAGTTGATAATACATTCGAGAGTTGAATGATGAATGTGGCGTTATTACTGGTTTTACACTTTGACGGTGGTGTCAAATCTTGAAAATTATTATGAGCACCAGAAAACTAAAAGCTGGAAAAATATATATTACATACTTTCGCACGACATGACTCAATTATGAAATGATAAATGCCAGAAAAGATGAATTATGAAACTTAGAAATATGGGTTACATAACTTGGCAACACCTCATAAGGGGCAGGGTTGCCACAGTCTGGGAATTTAATAAAGTCAGGGAAAATGTTGAAAATGTCAGGGAAGTTGAATCTTCTTTATTTGCTTTCTAAAATGGGTTTGAGGTCGAACTACCAATTTTGCCCAAACACTATTTTCAATTATGTCTTTTTAGCCATTCACCATATCTTCAATTGTCAGGGAATTTCACCGAAATGTAACAGGGAAATGTCAGGGAACTTCATTTTCCAATTTTTGTGGCAACCCTGTCTGATCGAATGACTATCAATTTAATATAACCGGAACTTGCTCTGCTATACCACTTATTTGATAGTTGATGATTATATATTTTCTCATGTTTTCAGATGCTTGAAATAGGCAGCCTAGAACACATGTCTTGAAAGAAAATGCCAACTATTTTCGTTCCTCAATGATTACTTTTAGACGGAATTGATGCTGTGCAAAATTGTTTTACTTCTCTCTTACTGCCCTTTTTAAACAATATATATATATTTTTTTTTTAAAGTTAATGGTCATTTTGTTTACTTGCTAATTATAATATTCAGTTATTAGTGTTTGCATGCGTTAGTGAGTTGCTAGTGTAACACTGATTTTTGTTCCTATTTTCGGAAACTTGAATGAATTTCATGCGCTCACATAAACAAGCTCGTTCTTAGAGTAGGTAACAGTGCAAATATGGCAAATTTCACTTGAGCCTTTCTTTAGTATGTTCAACTCATATTTTGTACTTGTATCCCCTTGAAATACCATTACGTTAGTGAGTCGACAGAGTAATGCTGATTTTTATTCCTATTTTCAGAAACTTGAATGAATTTCATGCCCTCATGTAAACAAGCTCGTTCTCCAACTAACAGTGCAAGTATGGCAAACTTCATTTGAGCCTTTCTTTTGCACGTTCAACCCATATTTTGTACTTGTATCCCATTGACATATCATTACGTTAGCAAGTCAACAGGGAATTACTGATTTTTTGTTTTGTTTTCAAGAACTTAATTAAATTTTCTTTTTTCTACTACCTTATGTCTATTTATCAACATCTCTTTTTTCATACGCCATTTTTTTCTACGACTAATATTAGTGTGTGAAATATTTTTTCATGTGTGTTTTAAATTTCTTCCAGTTATTTATTGGCTAATAATAGTCGCATTTTGTTCCTGAAGGCCACAAATTTTTTATTTCTCCCTATTTTCTGAATCTTATCATCCTAAGATGGCTTTATGGCGAAAGTCTTAAAACTTTTTCCTCATTCGGAATGTTTCAAGAAGAGCTGATGATGTTTCATTTTTATTTAAATTTTTTCCTTTCAATGAAAATCAGTAAATTATTCATAATTTTACCAAGTATTCTGTACATGATGCAGGATAACCAGCAAAAATGTTAAGAAATAATGTTCCTTAGTTTATCGTAAGTAATACAGACAGTGTGACAAGAAATCATCAACATTGCAAAAAGAGACATTCATTTTTCAATTTTCAACGACTAACATTGGTTGAAAAATAAGAGTGACCATGAGTGAGAAATTCATTAATTTTAAACCATGAAAGTTTTGCAGGATTTAAAATAGGTTACTAAAATCTTAACCTCTTTACACAAGAGATAAAAGTTTCTTAGATTTTGAATCACTAAGGGACAAAGACATAAAGACGGAGCGCTAAAAGCAAAAAATGAAGCTAGAGTCCCTTTATACTGAGAGTCAAGACAACACCCCCTCATGGAGTCTCAAAGGGGAATAAAGACTACAGAAATTGAACGTTTTTCGTAATCTTTGATCGGCCCATTCTTAAATTCCTTTCTCCGTTCCTTCTCTCATTTTGTTTGTTCCTGCCGAACCTGAAATTCCTCGGTCCATTCCAGATTATAATCTTTGCAGTTACTGAAAATGTAATCTTTACTCCCGTTTGTGACACTGTGAAGGCCTAAAATACGGGAACCAATCAGAAATGGATTCGCATTGTCTTGACTCTTAGTATAAAGGGAATCTAAATGAAGCTTCTTTTCAACCACCTCTACTGTTGGCTAGAGGGTTGGCGGCAAAATCGGGACAAGTTTGAAATTCAAATGTAGGGCGGGAACTGAATAAAATTGCGTAAACAAAGTATTCTAGGTTGATTTTTGCCCAGATTCACTTCCCCACATATATTTTGTTAGCTTTAGGTTATTTTTGGTCCGTCATAGACCAATTAATTTCATTTGGGAGTAACAGTCATTTAGGACTGTAACGGCCTGTTTGAACCGGCAGGACCACCATGAGCAGAAGGAAAACTAACTTTATCTGAGATTACTGCCTGTTACCGAGCAACAGTAGGTGTATTATAAAAATTCAATGTGCCAACTTTCTTATTATATTCGTTGCAGGCAATTAAAAGACGTTTAGAAGAAAAAATGTGGAAAAATCAAGAGGACAAGTTCAAATCAAATTTCGTTTGCCGCCATGAATTCCCGCGCACATTTACACACTCACACAAGCACCCAGCGCAAAACCAGGCTTCACTTTTTCCCCGTGATTTTAGATACGAGCGGGCCGTCTTTATGTCTTTGCTAAGGGGCTACGTCCCAGTTAATAATCACTGAAAGGAAAGAAAAAATCTTAAATTTGCCGCCAAGAAGCACTTTCTCTTGGATCGAGAATTCTGATCATTATCTGCTTCTTACAAACTACATATCTGCTTAATTCAATATTTTCCTTCATGTATCAAGAAAGATTTAGCTTGAGTAAAGATAAAAAAAAATTCTTGGCGGCAAATTCAAGAATCATCGTGTATCATAATGGATACGGCAACATTGCTCGTGATACCCCCCTTTCTTTTTCTCGAAATTTTCTAATGATGATACTGGGGGTCCATACTTAATAAAAAAAAATTTCCAACTTGGACGAACAAATAAAATTAATGAAACGACAGTCCTGCTCCGAATTTACGCGACTTGCGAATTATGGGTGATGCAGCAATTCGGCAACATTGCGGGAAATTTCCACCTCGTATTTTCTCGAAATTTTCCTAGGATGATTCTGAGTGTGCATACTCAATATCTTATGTGTCAAAGGGGATTAACAAATGAAAATTCGATGACCTCCGAGCCTGTCCTGAATTTACGCAACTCGCGATTTTTGGATGATGGAGCGATTCAACAACATTCCTTGAGGTTTCCCCCTGGAATTTTCTCGAAATTTTCTAAGAATGATACTGAGTGCGCATGCTCAATATCTTATGCGTCAAAGGGGATGCACAAATGAAAATTTGAAAACCTCAGAGCCCGAATTATGGATGATGGAGCAATTCGACAACATTGCATGAAATTTCTCCTTTGGATGTTTTCGACATTTTCAGAGGATGGTCTTGGATGTCCATCCTCAATTAATACAATCCGTCAAATCGGTTGAACAAATGATGTTGCCGAAACGACAGAGCCTGCTCTGAATTTACGCGACTCGCGAATTTTGGATGTTGGAGCAATTCAACAACATTGCATGAAATTTCCCCTTTAGATTTTCTCGATATTTTCAAAGGATGATTCTGGGTTTGTATGCTCAATATCTTTTGCGTCGAAGGGGATGAACAAACAAAAATTTGAAAACGTCAGAGCCTGCCCTGAATTTACGCGACTCGCAAATTATGGATGATGGAAAAATTCAACAAAATTGCTAGCGATTTTCCCCTTAGATGTTCTCGAAATTTTCTAAGAATGATACTGAGTGTGCAAACCCAATATCCTGGGGATGGAGAAACGAAACGTCGATAACCAAAAGGGATGCAAAAATGAAAATTTGAAAACTTCAGAGCCTGCCCTGAATTTACGCGACTCCCGAATTTTGGATATTGGAACATTTCAACATTATTGCTAGAGATTTTTCCCTTCGATTTTCTCGAAAGTTTCCAAGGATGATTCTGGGTGTGTATGCTCAATATCTTCTGCGTCAAAGGGGATGCACAAACGAAAATTTGAAAACCTCAGAGCCTGCCCTGAATTTACGCGACTCGCGAATTATGGATGATGGAGCAATTCGACATCATTGCATGAAATTTCCCCCATGGATTTTCTCGACATTTTCAGAGGATGGTCTTCGATGTCCATCCTCAATTAATATAATCCGTCAAATCGGATGAACAAATGATATTGATGAAACGACAGAGCCTGCTCTGAATTTACGCGACTTGACTCGTATGGTCGATGGATGCGGAATCATTTCTTTTGATTTCCCACTTGGAAACGCTCGAAATTTTCCAAGGATGTTTCTGGGTGTGCATACTCAATATCTCATGTGTCAAAGGGGATACACTGATGAAAATTTGAGAATCTCAGACCCTGCCCTGAATTTACGCGACTCGCTTATTATGGATGATGGAGCAATTCAACAACATTGCTAGAGATTTTTCCCTTGGAATTTCTCGAAATTTTCCAAGGACGATTCTGGGTGTGCAAGCTCAATAAGTATCTTACGTGTCAAAGGGGATGAACAAACGAAAATTTGAAAACCTTAGAGTCGGCCTTGAATTCTAGCGACTCGCGAATGATGGATGATGAAATCGAGCAATTCAACAATATTCCTTTTGATTTCCCGCTTGGAAAATCTTGAAATTTTCCAAGGATGATTCTGGGTTTGCATGTTCAATATCTTATGGGTCAAAGGGGTTGATCAAGCGAAAATTTGATTACCTCAGGGCCTGCCCTGAATTTACGCGACTCGCGAATTATGGATGATGGAGCAATTCGACATCATTGCATGAAATTTCCCCCATGGATTTTCTCGACATTTTCTGACTCGCTTCGACTCGTATGGTCAATGGATATGGCAACATTCCTTCAGATTTCCCACTTGGAAAATCTCGAAATTTTCCAAGCAGCTTTTTTTCCAGCCTCTCGTCCCTCCCGGACTCTATTGTTGCCAGATAAGATGCTTTTTCAAGACTTTTCTCAATTCAAATCAATGTAAAATATTCACTTTTATCACACAATTATCTGGCAACCTCTCGAGTGAAATAGAAAAAGGTGGAATCGCTGAAAGTCTGAATCCTTCCAAGTTTATATTAATGATGTGTGAAAGGGGATGAACAAACGAAAATTTGAAAACCAACAACATTGCATGAAATTTCCCCTTTGGATTTTCTCGAAAGTTTTAGAGGATGGTCTTGGATGTCCATCCTCAATTAATATAATCCGTCAAATCGGATGAACAAATTAAATTGACAAAACGACAGACCTTGCTCCAAATTTACGCGCCTCCACTCGTATGGTTCATGGATGCAGCATCATTCTTTTTGATTTCCATCTTGGAAAATCTCGAAATTTTCCAAGGATGATTCTGGGTGTGCACACTCAATATCTTAAGTGTCAATGGGGATGAACAAACGAAAATTTGAAAACCTCAGAGTCTGCCTTGAATTTAAGCGACTCGCGAATTATGGATGATGAAGCAATTCAACAAAATTGCTAGAGATTTTCTCATTAGGTAATCTTGAAATTTTCACAGGATGGTCTTGGACTTCCATCTTCAATAAATAGAATCCGTCAAATTAGACGAACAAATGAAATTGATGAATCGACAGAGCTTGCTCTGAATTTACGTGACTTGACTCGTATGGTCGATGGATGCGGCAACATTCCTTCAGATTTCCCACTTGGAAAATCTCGAAATTTTCCAAGGTTGAATCTAGATGTGCATACTCATTATCTTATGTTTGAAAGGGGATGAACAAATGAAAATTTGAAAACCTCAGAGCCTGCCCTGAATTTACGCGACACGCGCATCATGGATGATGGAGCAATTCAACAACGTTGCTAGAGATTTTCCCCTTATTTGTTCTTGAAATTTTCCAAGGATGATTCTCGGTGTGTATGCGCAACATCTCGTCACCTTCTGGGCAAAGTATCACAAGTGCCATGCGACGCTTCAAAATTTCCGCCGCCATTTTATTTTATTACAGAGAAATTGTTGGTTGAATCTGTTTAAAAATTTCACTGAATTTTATCTGCATCGCAAAGAAAATTCAGTGAAATTTTTGGACAGCTTCGTTGAAA